AACTGCGGCTGCAGAAAAGGAAGAAAAAATGAGTGAGCGTCAGCTTGCTCGTCCACTGCCGCTATTTCCCAAGTTACCGGAAGTATGCATATTACCCGGCCAATTTTATTAACCCTTTTTAAAACGCCTCGTCGCGAGACACATCGCTTACACGCTGTTCTCGTCTGGAAAAATCAAAGAGGTAGGGTAAATGAATCGTGGAACGTCACAAAACGCGCTCGTCGATTCCCATTCTCGTAGCCAAGGTGTTTTTTTTAATAGCATCGCGTTAATGATCGCGGCATTACTATGCAAATTCTGAGATGTTTCTGTATTCAATAAATTTTTCTCTTTTGCTTTTTACACCGTTGCCAACCAACGTTCGCGATTTACGCGAATGCAACTGTTCGGAGAAAAGGCAATCAAAGAGATGAAAAATGCGAAATAAGTATTGAACACCGACGAAAACGGCATAAGCGTAAACAAACCGTAAACCATTTTTCCGGCATGATGATGGCGCAGTCGGACATTAATCGACGACTACATCCACCAAATAAATCATCGTTTCGTAATGGGGCAAATGAATCGGGATTTGCGAATGCGAGCGCTGCTTTTTTATTGATATTTCCTGCGTCCCGTATAGATGGGATACGTACGTATATACGTATTTTGTCTCTGCCAGCATGTTTTCCATTCTATTTTTCCTTCTCTTTTTTTTCGTCCGTTTTCATGCACGCACGCGTACAAATGACGTTCGACCAGTATCCGACAATAATTCTTTTTATTACGTCTGCCGGCTCGTAACGAAAATATTAGCAATTTTTATTACCCGCCGAAATACACTGAACAAATACGCGCAGACATTACCAGCGAGCACGTTCTCGTGTCGCATTGGAACGTAACACGTTGAATGAAACGTAAACCGATCCGCACCGCGTGGCATTTCACCGAACACACGTTGCTAACAAGTCTGTGGTTCCCGCGAATCGTCCGGCCTGGTCGCCACGCGAAACGCTCCGGAAATCAGCATACGTTACCCTGGAAAATTCGTTTGAACCCGTGCGCTTTTTTGTTACACGTTTTTCTTTTATTTTTTATTTCTCACCGCAGAGTTACGAGCCGGCGTTTAGAGCCGAAATTCTATTCAGTGATACGGAATGCCCCATTAGAAGTGATTTCTTTCCTTCTCTGTTAAGCGAAATTTCCAAATATATGTCCGTAAAGAATTGTAAAAATTCGCGATTAAAAGTTGACAATTATTGCAAAAACGACATTAAATAAAAATGAATTTATTGTGAGATATATTAATTTAATTAATTGTGTGTGTTGAGCGGTGCTAGAAATTAGCCAGCAGCTGCCTGTGCGCGCATTTCACTCTGAAATTTCCTTAAACGAGTGTAAAACGAAGTTTCGAACAAACTGCGGCTGCAGAAAAGGAAGAAAAAATGAGTGAGCGTCAGCTTGCTCGTCCACTGCCGCTATTTCCCAAGTTACCGGAAGTATGCATATTACCCGGCCAATTTTATTAACCCTTTTTAAAACGCCTCGTCGCGAGACACATCGCTTACACGCTGTTCTCGTCTGGAAAAATCAAAGAGGTAGGGTAAATGAATCGTGGAACGTCACAAAACGCGCTCGTCGATTCCCATTCTCGTAGCCAAGGTGTTTTTTTTAATAGCATCGCGTTAATGATCGCGGCATTACTATGCAAATTCTGAGAGCTTTCCGCTTTTCTTCAAGAGTAATCCTATCGAAGAATCGATCTAGCCTTATCAAAACCTTACTAAGCTCCGCGTGTTCCCCAAGATCTCCGACTGGGAACTCATTAATTTCAAGTAAAAACGATCGCAGCCGGGGGCCCTTAACACGGTAATAAATCTCTGATATCGCGCGGAACGTTTCTATCGTACACAAACAATTTCCGGAAAAATATCCCGGCGAGTGACGACGTGTACGCGTGTTCACATAAGTTGATGTGGTATATTATAGTGGTTGATCATGTAAATAAATTATCCGACAATGTATAGTCCGCTTGTTCAATAAAAGAAAATTCCATTATTTTTATTGAAGAGAGTGCAATCTCGAAAATGATACCAAGCGAATCTGCGAGCGAGCGAACTGTATTCATCGCGTACCACCATTATTCCTTTCAGTTATTATTGCCGTGGCGTGATAACACGAGGCGTTACAGAATCGACAACACTGCAATTGATGGATGAAAAATAATCGCGATCCACCGATAGATACTTGATACTCGCATCAATAGCCTCGAACGCTTTCTATTCTGTCATAAAAGAATCAAAATAAAAATGCAGAACTTTAAAATGTTACCATTTAATTTAAAAAGATAAAAATATTTGTTTAGTCGGAATAATTTACGAATACGTACATATGTCGTATGAAATTCGTAGCTCCAAACAGAAGGAGTGCAACGTTTATGAAACTCGAGGGAGCTTATCAAGCTTTGGGATAAGTGAAGTGAACAGGTGGTCCCGTATTTGATTAATCCCAAACGGAGTCTAATTGCTCTTTCGTCCACAGAAGATGCATCGTCGGAAGTTTCATCGACGACGCATTGTTGGGTCGCCGGTGAATATAACAATACGTTTTTCAGAAACGGGAAATGATGAGGAGGAAGAGAGAGTTTGGGATAGTAGGTAGTGCGGCTGGACCGGTGCCAGCTGAGAGGAAGTCTGAAGCTCGAGGGGTTAATTGGCTTAATTTCCTTGAAGAATGAGGAACGCTTCCTCTGCCCACCGTTTCTTTCCTCCGAACAAAAACGTTGTTTCTTCGCGGGCGAAAGTTTCTTTTAGCCCTCGCGCTTCAACTTCCTTTTATGCAATGTACAGTAACTTGAAACGTTCTTACTGCACGGAATTAATAACGCAGTATAAATACAGACTTACGTTTGTCTTTTCCTGCTGCTCATTTTCATTCAATTGTAGTGGTTGAAATTGGAAATCGGCGATGCTTTAGAATCAAGGGAATTGAACAAAGAAGGGAAAGGGCTAAGCATCGCGTGCTTCTAACGGGCCACTCGGAAATTAATGTCCCGTCCCATCGGGAACGTGGACTATCGGGAAGGAAAGACGTTTCGACGTTAAATCGATGCCGAAAACCGATCCCCGTTGATAACCCGCTTTTACCACGGCCCAGAAACGTGGCTTTCAAATACCGAGTGCACTCCGCTTGTTTGATTATTTTATAACAGGCACGGGTATTACACAAGATCAATGACGCATAGGATTTCGAGGAGTAACAGAGAAGAGCCTGTACTTTATCGGTCGAATAAAATTGACGTAACTACTACTAGCAGGTCGGCTTTGAAACACGTAAAGCGGGGTCAAAGGAAACGCGAACCGCAGAGAATTTCCACTGTGGGCTTGTTGCATCGGATGCGACTAATTACTGTTATTTGGCCCGCGTGTATCGACGACTTTTCTCAGGGGACAAATTGGATAAGCGTGTCCACCTTTTGTCGTTCTATCCGTAATAATCGACAAGTCCACCCTTTGTAAGGACCAACGCTTTAATGGAACCACCGACGCATGTCCGATACGTAAAAAAGAAATCACCGCGGGCTAAAACCGAAGTAATTAAACGATTCGGAATAAAGGGAAACCGACAGCCGATTAAAAGTTACATTTGTACTTGTTCCTTGTGACAATACATGGCTCGATACTTACTCCTTGTTATCCAGTCGATTCAACGTCTGGTTACCATTTACACGATCCGTAGCCTTTATTGTAGACTAAATTCAATTGTCTAAAGTGATTGCATAAAGTAAAACGTATAAATCCAGTTCAAATCACAAGATCAGTTCACGATTAGTGATGGGCATAGAAATTGGACAATAGTTACAAGCTACGAGAAGACTACGAAGTCTAGAATGATTTATGCTACTGCGCATGCAGGATAGCACGTGATGTAACCATCGCAACGTAAACACCCAGCGTTTTCAGCGGAACGTCAATATTCGACAGTTCAATTAATACCCGATGTATCATCGCTGCGGGGAGCAGATGGGGAATACAATGTCCCTCCATCTATGTACCAGTGCATTCCGAGCGTAGTGAAAACCGCCAACGCTGCGACGCGGACGCGTGCAGTGCAGCAGAGGCAGACCAGCGTAGGAAGGGCTTACATGGCCGTATCCGACGCGCAGGCCGCGCGCGCGGCGCTCGATATTGTCTCCGAGATAAGTGGCAGCGGGAAAATGCGCTTGACACTTATGAGGCAACATTTCTCGAACGGCAGACACTCTCCGCTTTCGTCGTTTCTACCGTCGCCTTTTTCTCTTCTTTTTCGAGCTACCAGCGACGCGCGGCACGTCCGGAATGCAGTCCAAAGTGCGGGAAACTGCCAATGCGTCGTCCACTCTCGTTTCTGTCTCTCGCGTCGATACGCTACGAAATCCCTAAATTTGTTTCATTTCCCTTCTTCCTCGTATTCGTCGGTACGGTTGTATATATTCTGCGCATCAAGGGTGGAAACGATGTAACTAAAATTTCAAATCAAGTTATCGATCGATGTAACGCAGCTTGTTCACATTTAAAACAAACTGTCACATATGAAAGATAAAAAGTAAAAAATGTCGAGGTTTTTTTGTATCATGTCAGGTTGATTTATATTTCAACGTTAAAGAAGAATTTTTAACGTATATCATTTTGATAATAACCGACACATGTTCCAAGTACCAACCGCGTATACGTGTTGATTTAATATAAATGTAAAAAGTCTAAAATTACTGTTTGATACCTCGATTAAGCGATGATAACGTTACAATTCGAAGTACCAAAATACATCAAATACTTGGCGCATCCGAGGCAACAAAATCGTGAATTCCAGGCGCGCGTTGTTATCGCGGCCGAACAGGTGTCGCGCATAATTTCACGAGCTCGCCTCTAGAGGCACGCGGTTCCAAAAAGAAGCAGCGCGTTCCCTGAATCGTGCCGGATCGCGGTTCGCGGATCTTCACGAGCAAAAATGATTTATGAATGGGATTCGGAATCTGTTCACAGAACGGACGAGCCAGCAGCGAGAGCAGCGAGGATGGAGCTGGTAGCAGCGCAAGCACCTCGCGAGGAGCCGGTAGCGGATTCGGCTGTGCCGGCGGCTGGCGTAGCGTCTTCGGCGCCGTTTCTAGCCGGGAGTTGAGGCTCTACGAATGCGCGCCATGGAGCCCAGAGGCTTGGGCCTCACCGAGCATCACCTGTCCCCTGATCGCCACCAGGTATGTGATTCACGTTTATCAAATTGGCATAATGTCAAATCGAGATCAAAATTTATCGAGTTCGATCAGAATTAATCGAGACGAAGATTTAAAATGACAGAATGAAATTCTTATTTATTTCTGTACAAGATTTATTAAGAGACTTCAGATAAATCTACATATGAATTGTAACGTCATAAGCTCCACTGGAACAGATATATCGAAGAAAGGATTAGGAGCTAATTCAGTACGGTTCAATTCATTTTGCAATGCTATAAATAGATAGAAGCTGGAATCGCAATCAATAAGAAAACGAAATGATCGCGGGCCGGTTTAGCGGTCCGCGCACGTAACAGCCGCGATACGAATAGCCCGGAGCTCTCGCGTATAATAGTCTTAATTAAAATAGTGGTCTAACGAACACCGCTAACTGCGGTAATCCGACGTGCCTCATTGGTAATCCCCCGGCCGTACCGACGAACACGGACGCGTTATGTTGGCTGGGCTGCCGGTTGCACGATCGACTGACCCCAGCTCGTGGCTACGATATCGAGCCAGATTCTGCTGCGTACGTGTAACCGTGCGCGTATACGTACGTCCGACGATCTGACATCTTCGCGGTTGTCTGTCTAGCAAATATCATAGCAGCGTATGATCCGCCAGGTCCACGCGACTGTTCCGTGGTTCCGAATCATGTACTTGCTCATTACCGTAAAAAAAAAGAACTCTTCTCAATTCCTCTTAACTCTCAACCATTCTATAATAACCATATGTCATATTCGGACATTTATTAAAAAGTAAAAACGACTTTTGTATGTATTGGATCCTCAGAATTTGATGTTATTATACTGCGGATTTGATGCATTTATAGAAAAATTGTATCCGTAGAAAATGTAATATCCACAGTCATACATCATGATCAAGAGTGAAAGACCTGTTTTCATTTCCAAGAGGTAAAATCTAAATAGATATTACGAGCAAGAACTGAATGTTGCGCGTAACTTGAAATTAGGAATAGAAAATTTCTTATCAAATTTCTATTTATAGCACGGAATTATTTGTTGATAGAGAGTTTCACTTTAGCAGTTCGCCACAGGCCGAACCCCTTAACCCGTAAAATCTATTTTATTCCCAGCTATGGTCAGCAAAGGCATTACCCGGCCGTCATAACGTATCCGCATCAAGGGGAAACGCACCGGGTCCATTTGTTCGGTCACGGTATGTGGCGTGTAACCAGGCCAGGGGCGACGTAAGATAGAAACAGAGGCGGAAAGAGATGCGAAAATGACCGCGTTTCTCGGAATTGGATTTCGCTGGGGGTGTGCTCGCGCTCCGGAAAGTTAATGCATCCTGAGCTGGGAGAATCACGTCGGTTAATTCTACGCTGTCTTGGAAACCGATCTTCCGCTCGATGTTTAACGCTCGACGAGCACCTAAAGGAAGCGACCGATCGGGTTCCGTGATTCCTTTGGAAATTAAGTCGGTCGATTTGATTTCGTAGACACAAAAGTGGATAAAGTAGCGTAGGAAAATGTTTGTCTTGTTTCTTACTCAATTTTATTGCACCCCTACAAAGTAAATCATAAATGACGTGAATCTCTTGATTACCCAAAATTGAAACGTGACAAAATATTTCGTTAACTGAACAACACAATCATCGTTAAACTATTCGCAACGAAGTAGCAGTTAAGTGGGTAAACGATGAAGAGTCGAATTTGCCTCGAAAGCGAGTAAAATTGCATCGCGTCATAGCTAGAAAAAACTAACCGATTGATCTTCACTAGCTTGTTGATTAATATCGCGATGGCTATTCGTTCTAAACAAAATAAATAAAAATATCTAGCATAGATGAAAAGATTCGAAATCAACTATCGTTTGAAACGGAATATTTGCGTTTTACACACGCGATTCCATGGCTTGATAGTCGGTACCATTATTATTTTTTAAAACGTTCGCTTGCGTTTAACGAACAGGAATTGGCTCGACGATTTAAATCAATGTTTATTCACTCGATGAATATTTTACGATCGCTTTTTTAATAGAAAATAATAAGCGCGTATCGAAAAAATTGTTGATCGGACTGACATGGGGCGACGTTTATAGATGGATCGGCTTTAAATCTTGTTTACATCTGGTACGATAGCCGGTGGTGTGTCGCTTAAATTGCCGTCGTCGCCAATGGGGTGATTAATCGCGCTGATCGTAATTAACGATTTAGCGCACCGCTCGCGGAAACTTCAGAATCACGTTCGCGCCAGTAATCGTTGCCAAAGTAATCACTGAAATTACCCTCGAAGCAGCGGCAACTTGTTCGATTATTAATTACCGAGGAAGCAGCCCTCGTGCCGGTCGCTTAAATAACGATTTCCTTTATCGTTCAATTCCGCTTTCGCCAAGTTCCTTCTCGATACTGTTCAATTTCCCATAGTCCCATAATTAATAATTATCTTCATAATTTTTATATGAAATATCCCACTTGTTTTGTGGTATTATTCAGTACAGTATGAAATTAAACCATTGTTAAGGTAAAACAATTTATAAAAGGACGTTAAATGTCCTATCATGAAAATAGTATTCCATTTTCGATTAGTTCCGATGTATCGTGCATTAGGGATTTGTTCGTTTAAGGGTAGAGCTGCTTTAAGCAGTGGCTGAAATCAAACTTGTCCAAAGTCATCTCGAAACCAGCAAGTCCGCCTTTGCTGTGGCAATACGGAAACTCCCGACTAGGCTAGTACAACAGTAAGCACGCGTGAGATTATTCAACTGTTCTTGGCTCCTTATGCTAAAGGGCGAAACGGAGGTACCGAGATCCTTCCAGGCATACACTCTGTTCCAAATACTATCTGCCAATGGAAACCACTACGAGACCTCCTTTGTCCTTACCTGTTCTTTGCCTTATCTCGCGTTACATCCACCAAACTCCATCGTCTCCCATGAATTCGTAATCCTCGCGGGAGACCAAGGTTTGTCATTCAAACACAGCTCATCGTAATCCCAAGAAAATTTTTTCATACGTAATAATTGCAAATCATTGATCGTCGATCAGCGATGTATAAAGTTAAGCTACAAACTTGAAACGAATTCCGATTAGCCAGAGGGGCGAAGAGTATAATTAATAGGTTGGGTGGATGCTTATAAAAGTTAAGAGACGTAGTATAAAATAGTAAGTTCGAACCCTCCTGAATCGAACCCAGCATTATAACAGCCCCTCTGATTGCTTGGTTAATTTATAGCGAAATGATTAATCGTAGAGGGATGTACCCTCGTCAAACAAACATCTGACGAGGAACGCAGCCTCAGGGGTGGATTAGTTGAAACTCTTCCTCGCCGTTGTTTCGTACTCCGCAACTCTCGTCTTTTTCCCCTCAAAATTGTTAGCGAAGATGTCTTACCATTACCTCGAAAACAGTGAACTCGTACTGCAGGATTGATCAGTTCCTAAGGGCAAAGAAGAAACGTAGTCGGGAATTCTTGTAAAAAATAGGCGAACGTCGTTTGGATATCGCTTATCGAGCCGAACCACCCTTATTAATCTACGTCGATCGAAAAGCCCCATTCCGCATTCGCGGTCGAGCAAGCAAGATTTCCGGCTCGCCAAGCCAAAACACCCCGACCCGATAAACCGTGCCTCCGTTTCATCCCTTAAAATATGGCTCGGTTGGCACATCGTCTTCTCGTTTCGCCCTGTCCCACGAGCACACACGGAGACCCACTCCGCCCGAAAGGGGGTTAAACGCTCGTGATTTATGTAAGAAGCTCGTGTCGCGTTTGTGGATACGATTTCGAAAGAGAGACAGCGAAGTAAGAGCGAGAGAGAAGGTGGCTAGGCCGCGTGTGACGGTACGTCAGCCGAAGATATGGGAATTTCGTGGCATTAGAGAGTGCCTGGTGGATGTGACGTCTTCTTCTTCTCCTTCTTCGTATCCTGACGGCTTCGCGCGCAATTTTCGGCTCCGCCTTCTCGAACAGATCTGTCGCCCGATGAAGAATCGCCCCCGCCGCGGAAATACTGTTGCGAAACACTCGCTCCCGTGCGATAACAGTGACATCCTTGTTCAAATAAAACGATCAAGTCGCGATCGAGTACGAAACATTCTTAATAACAAAGTTTTTTAATAATTCGGAATAGTTAAAGCCTCGATGCTTTTTTAATCGCGCAGCTGCCGGATAAAGAAAACTGAAATACATATTCAACGAGGTGACATGAAAAACGACCACTTAAACGCGGCCATCGCGCACTCGATTCCCTCCCACGGCTGCTTGTTTCAGAAACTTTGTTCTCTCTGAAAGTAAGTTCAGGAGGAACGGGAGCACCACCTGACGTCGATGGAGTCTCCGTTTTGTGCCTGTACACGCTATTCATGTACCGTTCTGTACGGAACATTTTTCACGTCTGACCATACACCGGTCTGTATCACTTGAAGGCGGAGCCTGTTTCGTTACCATCAATAATTTGCTAATGAAATTTATTAATTACCATTTTCCATCAGTTTTCGATATTATGTATCAATTTTCAATGATATTATTTGTTGATCAAACAATTGTCAAAATTAATTGCATAAAATAACTTCCATTCAATTTCACTTGTAACGAAGTATATTGTTTTCAATCATGCTCCCCGTGCAATTCAACCTTGTGGGAGAAAAATTCGAAGCATTTGGAACGAGCCAGTAGTCGGAACACGGCCGATTGGATTCGAGCCGCGAGCCATATTTAAAATCGAGTCTCGGTGCGGTGGCACGCGGTATCGACCAATGCCAGTCGCTCACCCCCTACGGCGTGTCGCCACTGGTAGACATTTATTTCGCGGGGCTTTTCGGATTTGACGGATTAGGCCAGAGCTTCCTCGGCAGCCGCGACAATATTAATGTGCGTCGACCGTGAACTGTGTTGACCTCGCGTGGTTCGAAAGCCCGATATCAGCTAGAATAATGTCGACGGCAGAGAAAGGATAACGTTTATGTCCACGGACAGGCGGTAAATGAGGTAAAAATTGGTCAGAGATAAGGTCAGGCTGG